AACTAATCCTTTCTTTCTTTCTTCCTTTCTTTCTATAATCTATCTATCTATGTATCTATGTATCTATGTATCTATCTATCTATCTATCTATCTATCTATCTATCTATCTATCTATCTATCTAATCTATCTATCTATCTATCTATCTACAGTCTATCTATCTATCTATCTATCTATCTATCTATCTACCTACCCCCTGTCTTTCTCTACCTTTCTTTTTTGTACTCCTTTACTTCTCTACCTCTGTCTCTTTCTCTACCCCTATATTTCTTTACCTCTGTGTCTACATCTCTACCTCTCTTTACCTCTCTAAGTAAACTTGTAGTTTTCTACAATTTTTTGGATCTTGTTTTGCATTTCAGCTTATTAAATGCATTTGAATTAAGCTTTTTTTTCTTTTTTGCTCTGTTTTGCTGTTGTTTGAACTGCAATATTTTTTTTTTTTAAGCATTTAAGTTAAGCTTTTGAAGCATTCACACGCATATTCCGCAGGAAATGCAATTTTTCTAGTTATTATTATTCTTCTTACTCAAAATTTTCTGACTCTAACTCCTCCTAGAGCTTTAACTCTACAAACTCCAAACTCGGGTCAGACCTTCAGACTGTTCTGACTTAGTGTGCTATATCTTTTTAGACTGATTCGACTTTCAGATTTCTTAAAAATTAATATTAAAAATCATAAAAATCCCATTGACTTTCATTGTAGCATGGTCAAATTGAGCCAAGACTACGGTGGCCCAATAGCGTACAACAAAAACTCAAATCTAAATTCCCTGAAGCCCTAGACTCAATTAAACTACCATTCTATATGTACTAATGAACTATCTATCTATCTATCTATCTATCTATCTATCTATCTATCTATCTATCTATCTATCTATCTATCTATCTATCTATCTATCTATCTTTCTTTCTTTCTTTCTTTCTTTCTACCTAATCTATCTTCTTTCTTTCTTTCTTTTCTTTCTTTCTTTCTTTCTTTCTTTCTTTCTTCTTTCTTTCTTTCTTTCTTTCTAATCTATCCATCTTTCTTTCTATCAAATCTATCCATCTTTCTTTATTTCTAATCTATCCATCTTTCTTTCTAACTAATCTATCCATCTTTCTTTCTAACTAATCTATCCATCTTTCTTTCTTACTAATCTATCTATCCATCTTTCTTTCTAACTAATCTATCCATCTTTCTTTCTAACAAATCTATCCATCTTTCTTTCTAACTAATCTTTCCATCTTTCTTTCTAACAAATCTATCCATCTTTCTTTCTAACAAATCTATCCATCTTTCTTTCTAACAAATCTATCCATCTTTCTTTCTAACTAATCTATCCATCTTTCTTTCTTACTAATCTATCCATCTTTCTTTCTAACAAATCTATCCATCTTTCTTTCTAACTAATCTATCCATCTTTCTTTCTTACTAATCTATCCATCTTTCTTTCTAACAAATCTATTCATCTTTCTTTCTAACAAATCTATCCATCTTTCTTTCTAACAAATCTATCCATCTTTCTTTCTAACTAATCTATCCATCTTTCTTTCTAACAAATCTATCCATCTTTCTTTCTAACTAATCTATCCATCTTTCTTTCTAACAAATCTATCCATCTTTCTTTCTAACAAATCTATCCATCTTTCTTTCTAACTAATCTATCCATCTTTCTTTCTTACTAATCTATCCATCTTTCTTTCTAACAAATCTATCATCTTTCTTTCTACCTAATCTTTCTTTCTTTCTTTCTACCTAATCTATCCATCTTTCTTTCTAACTAATCTATCCATCTTTCTTTCTACCTAACTAATCTATCCATCTTTCTTTCTAACAAATCTATCCATCTTTCTTTCTAACAAATCTATCCATCTTTCTTTCTAACAAATCTATCCATCTTTCTTTCTAACAAATCTATCCATCTTCTTTTCTAACTAATCTATCCATCTTTCTTTCTACCTAATCTATCCATCTTTCTTTCTAACAATCTATCATTCTTTCTTTCTACCTAATCTTTCTTTCTTTCTTTCTACCTAATCTATCCATCTTTCTTTCTAACTAATCCATCATTCTTTTTTTCTAACTAATCTATCGATCTTTCTTTCTAACTGATCTATCCATCTTTCTTTCTAACAAATCTATCCATCTTTCTTTCTAACAAATCTATCCATCTTTTTTCTAACAAATCTATCCATCTTTCTTTCTAACTAACTAATCTATCCATCTTTTTTCTAACTAATCTATCCATCTTTCTTTCTACTTAACTAATCTATCCATCTTTCTTTCTAACAAATCTATCCATCTTTTTTCTAACTAATCTATCCATCATGGTTTCTACGTAACTAATCTATCCATCTTTCTTTCTAACAAATCTATCCATCTTTCTTTCTAACAAATCTATCCATCTTTCTTTCTAACTAATCTATCCATCTTTCTTTCTTACTAATCTATCCATCTTTCTTTCTAACTAATCTATGCATCTTTCTTTCTAACAATTCTTTCTTTCACTTTCTTTCTTTCTTTCTTTCTGATGCTAATAACATGCTAATCATGTTAGCTTTATGCTAATCATGTTAGCTTCTTGCTAAAAACATGCTAGCATGATGCTAGCTACATGCTAATCATGCTAGCTTCTTGATAAAAACATGCTAGCATGATGCTAGCAACATGCTAATCATGCTAGCATGATGTTAGCTACATGCTAATTGTTATTATGATGCTAGCTACTAGCATGATGTTAGCTACATGCTAATCATGCTAGCTTCTTGCTAAAAACATGCTAGCATGATGCTAGCAACATGCTAATCATGCTAGCATGATGATAGCTACATGCTAATCATGCTAGCTTCTTGCTAGCAACATGCTAATCATGCTAGCATGATGCTAGCTACATGCTAATTCATGCTAGCTTCTTGCTAGCAACATGCAAATCATGCTAGCATGATGCTAGCTACATGCTAATCATGCTAGCTTCTTGCTAAAAACATGCTAACGTTGATGCTAGCAACATGCTAATAATGTTAGCTACATGCTAATCATGCTAGCTTCTTGCTAAAAACATGCTAGCATGATGCTAGCTACATGCTAATCATGCTAGCATGATGTTAGCTACATGCTAATCATGCTAGCTTCTTGCTAAAAACATGCTAGCATGATGCTAGCAACATGCTAATCATGCTAGCATGATGATAGCTACATGCTAATCATGTTAGCTTCTTGCTAGCAACATGCTAATCATGCTAGCATGATGCTAGCTACATGCTAATCATGCTAGCTTCTTGCTAAAAACATGCTAACGTGATGCTAGCAACATGCTAATCATGTTATTATGATGCTAGCTACATGCTAATCATGCTAGCATGATGCTAGCTACATGCTAATCCTGCTAGCTTCTTGCTAAAAACATGCTAGCATGATGCTAGCAACATGCTAATCATGTTATTATGATGCTAGCTACATGCTAATCATGCTAGCATGATGCTAGCTACATGTTAATCATGCTAGCTTCTTGCTAGCAACATGCTAATCATGCTAGCATGATGCTAGCTACATGCTAATCATGCTAGCTTCTTCCTAAAAAACATGTTAGCATGATGCTAGCAACATGCTAATCATGCTATTATGATGTTAGCTACATGCTAGTCATGCTAGCTTCTTGCTAAAAACATGCTAATCATGCTAGCTTGATGCTAGCTACATGCTAATCATGTTAGCTTCTTGCTAAAAACATGCTAGCATAATGCTAGCAACATGCTAATCATGCTATTATGATGTTAGCTACATGCTAATCATGCTAGCTTCTTGCTAAAAACATGCTAGCATGATGCTAGCAACATGCTAATCATGCTATTATGATGTTAGCTACATGCTAGTCATGCTAGCTTCTTGCTAAAAACATGCTTATCATGCTAGCTTGATGCTAGCTACATGCTAATGATGTTAGCTTCTTGCTAAAAACATGTTAGCATGATGCTAACAACATGCTAATAATGTTATTATGATGCTAGCTACATGCTAATCATGGTAGCATGATGCTAGCTACATGCTAATCATGCTAGCTTCTTGCTAAAAACATGCTAACATGATGCTAGCAACATGCTAATCATGCTAGCATGATGCTAGCTACATGCTAATCATTCTAGCTTCTTGCTAAAACATGCTAGCATGATGCTAGCAACATGCTAATCAGGTTAGCATGATGCTAGCTACATGCTAGTCATGCTAGCTTCTTGATAAAAACACGTTAGCATGATGCTAGCAACATGCTAATCATGCTATTATGATGCTAGCTACATGCTAATCATGCTAACAACATGCTAATCATCTTAACTACATGCTAATCAAATTAGCATCAAGCTAGCTACATGCTAATCATGTTAGCTTCTTGCCAAAAACATCTATCTATCTATCTATCTATCTATCTATCTATCTATCTATCTATCTATCTATCTATCTATCTATATTTCTTTCTAACTAATCTATCCATCTTTCTTTCTTTCTTTCTAATCTATCTTTAAAACTTCATTCAAACTTCAAAACTTCAAACGCTCTGGTCCGGCTTTCTCAAGCCAACTTAAAGTTTGTCATCAAACTTTTTTTTCTAGTTTTCATGTGATTCCTTTCCGTTTCCTGTGTTCGTATCAGCAGTTGGTTGTCAAGGAGACTAATTCGGTTGCGCACCTGTTTCTTATTGAGTTTGCTTTTAAGCCTTTAGGTTGGGTCAGTCTCGGATCAGTGTTGTCTTTACGCTGTGTACAGTTTTTGTGTTTCTTTCTCTCTGAATTATCCTGGGGTTTTTTATTATTATGTTTAATAAAGTGTTAAAGCTACAGTCTTTTTTTCATCAACTTACACTGTAGAAAGTGCTGACCTACAATTGTTCCCATTATGTGTTACTTGATTTAATTGATGGTATAATGTATTGAGGTTGATTCTGTTTTTGACTTTAGTTCAGAGAGATTGATTGGTACCACGTTTCAGTGAAGCAAAAGTTCTCAGTGATAGTTCCTCACTCACCACTGGTTTCCTGCAGTGATCTCGACCCAGAGCCTGAAAACAACAACAAGACTTTATTCAACATGATTTTGTGCTATTCTTCAAGAAACAGCATCTATACAGTTTGCCCACATTGGTCATGTTATTCGTCTCCACACACTGACAGGAAGCAGGCGTCCTCTGTGGTTGGTTGTTTAATGAACACAGGTCGTCACGGCTGGTTGTTTGCTGCTAATGTAAAGAGTCTGCGCTGCGAGCTGAAGCTTGTCTCGATGAAACCGCACTCTGGAATGCTTTCTTCCTCTGACAGATTGTCCTGATATGCTACCAAGGAAGTCTGCAGTGCTAAAAACAACCCACAAATATGAACCATGGCCACGGCCCTCTGTTGAACTCCATGCTTTATGGGACAACCAACAAACAATGTTGGAGGAAGTTACTGTTAAAAGTAATGTGTTACAATACTAATAACTTTACTTAGTTACTTTTTATTAAAAGTAATGTGTTGTGTTACTTTTTCTCGCTTGCTTTTTTAAAAAATAACAACAACAAAAAAAGTGATATTTTTGTCAAAATAGAAAAGGCCCTTTTCGCAGCCGAGGTGATTAAGCGCAGATCCACTCCTGTACAGTAGAGAGCGCCGCTCAAACAAACTGCTGCTGTTCTGGACCACAGAAGAGGTTGATTAAGGCTTAAGGCTGATTTATACTTCTGCGCCGGAGCCTCTACACTGAAGGCTACGCGTGGGTTTTCACTCATCGTTGTCCGCGTTGAGGCGCAATTACACATGTGAAATCCTAGGGGAGGGGTTCCAGCCGACCAATCACAGCGTTTGTGTCCGCGTAGTATTGACAGGTTGTTTCATTTCTGGAGAGCTGCACTTCAGTACGGTGAAAGGGTAAGCGTGCTACACGAAGCCTACGACATAGCTAAGGAGGGAATGTGACGCAGAAGTATAAATTAGGCTTTACTTCATCAATAAACACGAATGAAAACGAGGCACAAATATGACGTTTAACCTCAAGTAATGTTTGCTTATTGGTGTGGTTGAATTGCATCATTAGAGGTCAGCAGCAAAGACATTAAATACATAAGTATATTTGTGTTATTTAATATGTAATAATTTCGTAATATACGAGTTTGCATTTCACTGTTTTCATTCATCTCTGCACTTCCTGCCGGTTTTACTCAGCATTGGGACAGGAGAGCTGTCAGTCAATACTTGGGTTACTTGTTTGAAAAAGTAACTTTTTGTTGTAAATTTACATTTACTTTACTGGTTACTTGAAAAAAGCAGCACGGACGAGATATCTAGCCTTTATATAGATATCTATGATCCTAACGAGCTGAGGATCTGAATCAGGAGTGTTAAATAAGGCAGACATATACAATATGCAGAGCAGTGGATCCCGGGGACTGGAGTTACATTACCAATGAATTTACATGACTTTTCTAGTTGCAATTATTTTAACTCACAAATAGCAATTTAGACAAAAATATTATTCATGTTTGTAAATGTTATTACACTTTTAAAATGCCCTCATTTAGTATATATGGGTTGTCCAAGAGAGGGTGGTTCTGAAATATGAATGGTAGTTAAATGCTAATTAAATAAGAGATATGATTGTGATGGTGACTTGTGGTGGAGAAGCACTGCTTTAAACTGAATGGTAGAAGCGTAATGAACAAGGGGGTAATCCATCGACCGGAAGTTGAAGCCTCGCAGGAGCTGCCATCTTGTAGCAGAACTTCACCTGCATTAGCATTCCCATTGACTCCCATTCATTTTGGCGTCACTTTGATAGCGAATAACTTTACATCTGAGGCGTTTGAAGACCCCATTTGTCCTTTATTTATTTCTAAATAAACACGACAATGTATAAAAGGCTCCATTACTGTGTAGCTTATGTTATGGCCCCGTAGAAGCAGTTTTAGTGAAAGTAGGCTAACGATTGCGTCATACCCACGCGACTCTCTGTCACACAGGAGAGAGATTACCGTATGGACAGGAGAAGAAGCTCACGCGCAATCGGGGAAACGTGGAGGCAAAATGACAAAATAAATAATCAGAATACCTATCAGAAGTGTCTCCTGCTCCTATCTCATGGACAGCTCCTACTCACACTCTCCACCTCTGCGAGATTCGGAAGGGAATGATTCAGATTTCTCATGCAACATCCACTAGAAGACAGACGGGTCGCTCACGTCACATCTACGTAGTCAAGCTCTGTTTGAGTCTGCGCGTCAGGGACGGAAGTGCTAAAAAATCGCCAAAAACGGGCTTCAATCGTCTCAATAGAGTCCAATGAGATCGCTCTGTCCATTTCTTTTACTGTCTATGGTAATGAAGTCCTTCTCACCTCCACATCTTTCAGCGCCTGGATGTGAATGCCACACTTCTGTCCTTCTTCCACCAGCTGAGCTTCAAACGCATCCATGAGGATGATCATCTTCAGACCAGGCGTCTCTCTTCTCTGGACATTTCCCAGAAGCACTGTGGCTTTCTCTGGTTTATCACAGATGACTGTGGCGATTTCAGCTGGAAAACAAAAACATCACGCTTTTAAACTTTTGTCACGGATGGTTGCTGGCAGACAGATGAGGAAGACATAATAATATCCAATATGAAGGTTTATTAACAACAGATCATACAGAAAGGCAAATGGATATCAACACACACTAAACATAGACAACACCGGACACTGAAGTGAAACCGAACTGACCCTACAGGTGTGAATGATGGAGACTGAAGGGGATTAGTGTCTGTGACAACGAGTGAGTGACGAAGGCAGAGGATGACTAAACATAACGAGCCCAAACTAACGTGAATGTGACAGAACGCCCCCTGACATGTGACAGAACGGGCTGGCGAAGGGGTGGCACAGACAGGCAGATGAAGAGGAGGAGGGGCTGGCGAAGGGGTGGCACAGACAGGCAGATGAGCCAAGCTGTGAGTCAGGGGCTGCTGCGTAGCCAATTTGCTGAGGGGGTGGAGAGAAGGTGACGATCTGTTAAGCCGCAGCGACGACCTCCCGAGAGCGAGGTGGGGTACAGAGGTCAGAGGGCGTATTGCAGCGACCGAGGGCGAGGTGGAGGCGGAGCAAGCCGCAGGAGATGGGGTATAGGACAAGAGAGTAGTGGACAGTCCGCAAGTCCGCAGCGAAGGTGAAGCAATGTCTGACCTCGTGGAGGCGACGTCCGGCGAGACCGAATGGCCGATGGTCCACGCCGAGGTTGAGGGTGGAAGGAGCGCAGATGCGGGAGATAGGCGGCAGGTCGAGGCAGAGCGTGGCACACTGAGGTTGCAGGCGAAGAAGGCTCCCGACAGGCCCGAGGTGATGCAAGGAATGGGCATTTTTCCAAAATATTGCATTCGAATATTTGGGCTCATAAAAATGTAATGTTTGAATATTCATTTATTTAAATGACGTTTAACGAAAAAGACGTTATTTTTTAAGAGTACGTTTTTTAAAATTTATTTTTATCACCATTTTGAACAAGCTTATGATTAGGCAATATACACAACAAGCTTAAATATATATCTTAAGGTTTTATTTTAGTTGAAAACATTAAACAATATTCAACGTCGTGATGCAGTGTTGGTCAGCCGTCTTTCTCAGTCGACTGGTGTTTGGATTTCATGTGATTTCTCATGGTGGTGATATTATGATAACTCAGATTCATTTATTAATTTGATCAAAAGTAATTCCATTTTGTAAGCTCGTTTAGTAAGATAATTTTCATCTGAGTAGCCTAATTCCAAACTTTGCGAGGCAGACGACAACATTGAGTGATCAAATACAAACAACTCGTTAAACATGCTCCACAGCGCCACCCAGTGCATTTAAATATAATTGTGAGTTAGTGCTATTTTTTGAATAATAATTATAGATCGGATATTCGAACTACTGAGAGGCAGAGGTGGTGCCGAGGGACTGAAGCTTGACAGAGATGGCTGGAGACTGGGGGTTTGACTTGAGTTTCATGCAAAAAACAAAAACGAATAGAGTGTTCTGAATAGACTGGAGAGGTGGTGGGAGAGGAAGACTGGGCGGGGCCAGCGAGATAGGTAGAGGACTGACAGGTTCGGGCAGCAGAACTGGGGCTAGACAAATATCCGCTCCAAAATTAAAAAAGAAATGTTGTTGCCAAAAACGCGCTCTCAGTAGCGGGAGGGGTTTGGATTGTGGGCGGGTCTCACTCGACGTCCACCAGCACCCTCTTGGCGATGGAAGGCTCGGCCAGCTCACACACCTGGTCAGGCGCGCACTGCTCTGGCTCTGCGTGGTCCTCGCTCGCTCATGTCGGGGCGGGTACATACGTTGCGGCGGCCTCCGTCGCGCTACCTGCTGTGGGCTCCGGCTGACGATCCTCGCCGTCTGGGTGGTTCTGGCTGGGCACTGGATGGGGAGTGAGACTCATGGCGTCCTGCAGATCTGAGTTCACCACCTCGAATAAGGCACCCACTCCACATATGCTCCCTCAAGGAACCTTCCCGGATAACTGTGCACGAGTGCCGACGTTGAGTTCAACATCCAGAAAGGTACACAGGCAGTTATCCGAGAAACTGGTCTGATGGGCAAGATCCAAATTTTTTTCTAAATGTTCCTCGAGAGAGCATTCTCCCTGCTCAGGGCACATGGGTTGAACTGCTGGAAAGTCCACGGTGCAAGAGGGGTGAAAACAGAACAAAATAACCGAACACGAAAACGGGAAAAAAGAAAATTCAACAAATGCGTTCAACTTCTTTGGTCCGGCATTCTGTCAAGGGTGGTTGCTGGCAGTGTATGAATGAGTGACAGTGATGGTTCTTCACTGAGAAGAGTGTGTATGAATGAGTGAAGCTGACCCGTGTTGATGATGTAGCGGATGGCGTCAGGTCCGAGAGTGTCGTAAAGCGGCACCACCACCATAGAGTACGAGTAGCACGCCAGCTCGGAGATGATCCACTGAAAGACAAGAAGACGCGCTTCATGAGTCTTCTGCCATTAAATAAGTAGATCACTTTAAAATGAAAATTAGCCCATGATTTACTCTCCCTCAAGCAATCCTAGGTGTATATGACACTGTTCCTTCAGACGAATACAATCAGAGTTATATTAATAAATGTCCTGGCTCTCCCAAACTTCATAATGGCAGTGGATTGCAACCAACAGATTGAAGCTCAAAAAAGTGCATCTGTCCATCATAAAAGTGCATCTGTCCATCATAAAAGTGCATCTGTCCATCATAAAAGTGCATCTATCCATCATAAAAGTGCATCTGTCCATCATAAAAGTGCATCTGTCCATCATAAAAGTGCATCTGTCCATCATAAAAGTGCATCTGTCCATCATAAAAGTGCATCTGTCCATCATAAAAGTGCATCTATCCATCATAAAAGTGCATCTGTCCATCATAAAAGTGCATCTATCCATCATAAAAGTGCATCTCTACAACGAACTCCAAATGGCTCCAGGGGGTCAATAAAGGCCTATGATGTAGAGAGCACTTTTATGATGGACAGATGCACTTTTATGATGGATAGATGCACTTTTATGATGGACAGGTACACTTTTATGATGGACAGATGCACTTTTATGATGGACAGATGCACTTTTATGATGGACAGATGCACTTTTATGATGGACAGATGCACTTTTATGATGGATAGATGCACTTTTATGATGGACAGATGCACTTTTATGATGGACAGATGCACTTTTATGATGGACAGATGCACTTTTTTATGATGGACAGATGCACTTTTATGATGGACAGATGCACTTTTATGATGGACAGATGCACTTTTATGATGGATAGATGCACTTTTATGATGGACAGATGCACTTTTATGATGGACAGATGCACTTTTATGATGGACAGATGCACTTTTATGATGGACAGATGCACTTTTATGATGGATAGATGCACTTTTATGATGGATAGATGCACTTTTATGATGGACAGATGCACTTTTATGATGGACAGATGCACTTTTATGATGGACAGATGCACTTTTATGATGGATAGATGCACTTTTATGATGGATAGATGCACTTTTATGATGGATAGATGCACTTTTATGATGGACAGGTACACTTTTATGATGGATAGATGCACTTTTATGATGGACAGATGCACTTTTATGATGGATAGATGCACTTTTATGATGGATAGATGCACTTTTATGATGGACAGGTACACTTTTATGATGGATAGATGCACTTTTATGATAAATAGATGCACTTTTATGATGGATGGATGCATTTTATGGATAGATGCACTTTTATCATGGATAGATGCACTTTTATGATAGACAGATGGACTTTTATGATGGACAGATGCACTTTTATGATGGATGGATGCATTTTTATGATGGATAGATGCACTTTTATGATGGATAGATGCACTTTTATGATAGACAGATGCACTTTTATAATGGACAGATGCACTTTTATGATGGACAGATGCACTTTTATGATGGACGGATGCACTTTATGATGGATAGATGCACTTTTATGATAGACAGATGCACTTTTATAATGGACAGATGCACTTTTATGATGGACAGATGCACTTTTATGATGGACGGATGCACTTTTATGATGGATAGATGCACTTTTATGATGGATAGATGCACTTTTATGATGGACAGATGCACTTTTATGATGGATAGATGCACTTTTATGATGGATATATGCACTTTTATGATGGATAGATGCACTTTTATGATAGACAGATGCACTTTTATGATGGACAGATGCACTTTTATGATGGATAGATGGACTTTTATGATAGACAGATGCACTTTTATGATGGATAGATGCACTTTTATGATAGACAGATGCACTTTTATGATGGATAGATGCACTTTTATGATAGACAGATGCACTTTTATGATGAAAAGATGCACTTTTATGATGGGTAGATGTACTTTTATGATGGACAGATGCACTTTTATAATGAAAAGATGCACTTTTAGGATGGATGGATGCATTTTTTGAGCTTCAATCTGTTGGTTGCAATCCACTGACATTATAAAGCTTGGAAGAGCCAGGGCATTTATTAATATAACTCTGATTGTATTCGTCTGAGGAAAGTCATATACATCTAGGATGTCTTGAGGGAGAGTAAATAATGGCTAATTTTCATTTTAAAGTGAACTACTCCTTTAACTGGCTTTAGCAGGATGGTGTTTTGGGGTGTATTACCTCAGGCCTGTTCTGTGCGAATACCCCGATGAACTGAGCCGTATTGGGCTGACATCCCTGAGACAACAGACCCGAGCCCAAGTCTTCTGCCCTGCGGAACACCTGCGACACACACACACACACACAGGTCAGATTACATCGGACCAGCGCTTACACACACCACACAACACTCCTTCACTCACTTCTTTATAGGACAGCCATTTGTAGGGTTGATTGGGGAGTCTGGAGCCTAAAAACGGTCCATCACCTGCTCAGAACATCAGAAGTGAGAGAACAGCAGATCAGATCATCTCAAACACTACGATCACAACATCAGCTAACCATCATCCACACCTCGGAAGCATTCATCATCATCTTCATGTTAATCTCAACATTTACTAATACATGATCAAAAGTTGCATCTGTTAATATTGTGGCGCTGACTGTGTTTACTGTGTTATGAGTATGATTCCCGATTCTCCTGCTGTTGGTGTCCGGGAGGGAAATAGTTAAGGGGGAGGGGCTGACGGAGGAGAGGAGAGAGGGAATACTGTGGGCGGTGCGGAGAAGAGTCAGTCTAACGTTACATCTCGATTCGTGTGGTTCATGCTGTTGTTGGGGAGAGTTCAGACGCGTCCTGATTCCCGTGTTGAGGTCGTACACGTTCAGGAAATAAACCTCAGCCGTTTGATGCTTGTAAACTGATCCTCTTCTCCTGTCTGGACCCGAGCGAACATGAACTAACAATAAACAGTTGTATTTTTATTAACTAACGCTGGGGGTTAAAAATGATCCAAAATACATATTTGAGAAAATATATAACTAGCCAGTGTTCAACACTCTCTGCTTGCCGTAGCTCGACTCAAAGCGGCCCGACTGAGGTACGGTTTTAATTCCAGTGGTACTGGTGGATTTCCACGGGAGATTCGAGCATGTGTTTGCGTCATTACGTCACATCTGCACACACACATCTGCACACACACATCTGCACACACACATCTGTACACACACACATCTGCACACACACATCTGCACACACACATCTGCACACACACATCTGCACACACACATCTGTACACACACACATCTGCACACACACATCTGTACACACACACATCTGTACACACACATCTGCACACACACATCTGCACACACACATCTGTACACACACATCTGCACACACACATCTGCACACACACATCCGCCGGTCAGTAGCTGTGCTGACCCCAATGTCTGCTGCTTGACCTTGTTCTGATGAACTGCCGTCTTTGAACTTTGACCCGACTCTCACTGTATTACTCTGCCGCCAGTAAAGCCAGAACTGAACCCTTTTCCTCCCTCAAAACTTTCCTGTTCAACTCTTTTGGCACGTGTTATGGGTAGTCGTGACTGAATGGTCATGAGCAGATGTAGCACTCAGGAGAAGTTAGATGAGTTTGCATAGATGGGGTTTTTATTTATCCATAATTATGGCCAATGAAAAGCAAAAAAAAATTAACAAAAAAAATACTTTTGAATAAACAAAGTAAATTGACATGAGAGTCAAAATAAATACAATAAAAATAAAAAAAAACCTTTTACAACAGTTCAAACATTGACCTTAACACAAGTCAGTATATTAGAGCAAGGACAGACTTATGTCCTTTCACCCCAAGCCCCCTTACAGAATGAAAATACTAGCCTTTATAGACCTGAGTTCACCCATGGAATTGGAACATACCAACACATGATTATAATACAGGGGTGACTCAGATGACAACAGCATAAATGCTTAAAAACAGCATGAAATACAACCTCTATAAAACTAGAAAATTACAGAATATTATTTCTACAGTTTCAACTGACAATTGGCAAGCAAAAAGTCACATTAACAGCTACGAATTAATTAACCTCAAACTCCGGGTCATTTTTCTCTTGACCCGGAAGTCATAGCGTCATTTAAACCCCACAATAGCGGCACATTTTCTAGGGATGCACCGAATATTCGGCCACCGAAAATTTTCGGCCGAAAATGGCCCAAAAGTGCATTTTCGGTTTTCGGCCGAAAGACTTTTATCACCGAAACAATACGGCCGAAATGTTGTGATGACGCAAACAGAAACCGCGACCTGCACGTGCTTGTCTGAAGCAACATGTTTGCGGTGCGGACGTATTTCAGTGAATCTGAACCCGCGAGGAGACGGAAGCCTTGTTTATCCACCTATATCTGCTCTAAACAATGCGCGCCGCCATGACAACGACTCCGGATGCGAGCGGGTCAAGTATAAACTGTGGAGACTCGCGCTGCGGAGGTAGGCGAAAGTATGCGCGAGTCTCCTCAGACAGCGCGCACACTGCTCCAAACGGTCGAGGCGTTTATACTGGACCCGCTCTCTGTCGTACTATTCCTTGAAACGACAGGGGACGACTCAAGTAACTGTCCTCTAACCATTAGGAATCGGTGAGAAGAAGAATAATCATGTAAAACCCAGTAAACTCTGAGATTATTACTTGTGTGACATTACAAAAAAATATATATGGGAACATGTATGTATAGAACTAAATTAATGCTCTCTTAAATATTTTCTACATTCACTAAACATGTTTCGTTAAGTTTCATGTACATTTGTATTAATCATGGACCTTTGTTCATTTAAAAAGGCTTTTTATGCTATTGTATGCTAAATTTTTAAAATGTAAGAAACTAATTTAGACATGCAAAGGGTGCTGGTGTGATGAGAAGAAGTTCGCACTCGGCTTTGTTTTTATGAGAGAACATTTAATTTTAAAACCTTTCTGCAGGCCATTAGATTATTATTTAATGTACACATGAGTGGGGTCAAAAACATTTTACTTTGAATTTTATTTTATACTGTGCATTGTGCTAAAAAAAATATTTGCATAATTTGTAATTGATTTATTCTTTGAAAATTTTATATTAATTTATGCAATTGCAATGCCTTGATTTTAGTAACGTTTGTACACAGTCATAGCCATAAATGCAATGATACTGATAATTGGCATAATTTCTTTCGGTGTTTCGGTTTTCGGTTTTCGGCCTTGGTTTCCTCTTTTTCGGTTTTCGGTTTCGGCCAAGAATTTTCATTTCGGTGCATCCCTAACATTTTCCTTTACTCAAACAAACCAGAGACGCGAGTACAACAAAGATGGTATGTGAACACAATGTTTCTCTTAAACTAAATAAACAGATACCTATTGAAAACATGTATTGTGTGATTATTGTAACTGCATATAACTGTGATGTAGATGACATAATTTTCTTGAAAACAGCAAGATATGTATTGATAGAAGTAGCTATAGCATTTAAATCACCGCAGTATTAGCTGTTAAAGATGTGCACACCAAAAGCTACGGGATATATGAGTTTTTGTTATGAAAGGCTAGATTAACCGCTAATTTATGACAGTATAAAGATTAACAAAAAACCTTAACGTGCTAGACAAACATACGGATCACATTTACACACAGTCTTTGTGTACAAGCATAGGCAGCGTATCGCTGCCGTGACGATAGCTATGCGCCCCGTCACAGCACGGTCAATAGTTATTTTTTGATTTCAAATACTTTTGAGGTGCTACTAGCGCTGTTTCTGCCGTCCAGCTGGCCTTACTGCGAGAGGAGAGTGCTGAACACAGCCGTAAATAAGATTAGGTTCAGTAGAATGAGGTCTGCCTGTGTTGGGGTTCAACAGCTGCCACACATGTAGAGATGCTGATTTAAGAAACTCTCTTCATTTTTTCCAGAGCTGTATATATATATATATTCCTTGAACAAGACGAGTTTTTAGTGTGTAATGTCACTGGTATGACCCATTTCAGATGCAAAAATTACGATATAAAACTTGTGTTTTCTATTGAGCCTATTTTGTGAGTCAGACGATATTACACAAGTGAACACTGCATTGACGGATGAGGCACTGTGTGATTGAGCATGATTTGCATGAATCAGATCGAGGGTGTGTGTTGGTGAGTGTTTTCGAGCACATGAACTGATGCTCACCCGTGATGTGCAGGCCTCGCTGGAACACCTCGTACAGGGTCTTGGCGTCCTCATGGTAGTACGAGAGAAGCTCGGAGCCGCTGCCCATCATGGACCGTCGAGCGCCGTCTCCCATCTGGAACACACACACACACACACACACACGCCCATTTAAATAACTGCATGAAAGACGTATTGTTGAATTGTTCGTCTGGTACTTGTTTGCATCTGTGTTTGCATTTATATTTGCATCGGCCTCGACTCTGTAGGATGTGTTTGGGTGAAGATGTCCTGTTCGATTATTCAGTCTGTAGTGTCAAGGGCTTTCAAGAGCTTTATAGGAGACTGAAATATTCTTATTATAATAATCATCACCTCAGCAGAGTATGCACACACACACACACACACACACACACATATATGAAGAGTTCAGATGCAAAAGCCTCTAAATGCCATTTGAAATTTTCTTCTAGAATGATCATTTTTATCAAGCTTGTATATTTAAGTACAGTAATTTCACTTAAATGACAATTAATAGGTAATCTTCATTGCCATTTAAGTGAAATTACTGAACTTAAATATACAAGCTTGATAAAAATGATCATTTTAGGAGAAAATTTCAAATGGCACTTAGAGGCTTTTGCATCTGAACTCTTCATATATATATACACACACTGATCATCCTGATGTTAGGGTTAGGGTTATTTATATTTTATTATTTTATTTCAAGAAACAAGAATGCTTCTTTTTGATTTCAGTTTTAGTTAACTACAATAACACTGTTGAATAACAACTAGCAATTTGTAGTTTATATAAATTTGTATAAAAGCTTATATTAAATAAAGATATTTAGGTTTCGGCATGTTAGTTGCATGCAATTATGCATAATTTAAAGGTTATTACTATAGAAGGTTCATGTGATTTGTAATAAGCACACTGTAAAATAAAGTGTTATCATAAATTATTTGCATAATAAAGAATGACTTGAGATTTTATTCTTTTCCAAGTCTATAAAATCACACTTTCCAGAATATCCAGTTTGTCTGAGATCAAGAAAACCGGGATCTTCAATAATAACGCCAGTGGCTGAGGGCATTTTTTTCTACATGTATTATCTGATTATCTGATAAAACCTTCAAAATGACTCAAGTTCACATGAATAGGCAGAAGCGATAAAGAAAAGTCTTTAAAAATGTTTTTTAAGGCCAGACAAGTCAAAAGCCGTAAGCATTTACACAGGTTTGCGTTTTTGAAGCTTAGAATGGTTTTTCAATAAGGTTTTTCAAAATTTTCAAGGCTTGCACCAGGAACCCATTTAAAGGTTTGCGTTCTCAAGCACCAACACTGGCATTGTAAAAATGAATGGCCAGAGCACATTAAGGTAATTCCCTATTATCACTGCAAAGCTGCTTTGAAACAATCTATACTGTTAAAAGCGCAATATAAATGAAAGTGACTTGACTGTAAAGCTTGTTCTGTGTGGTTTGAGATCAGGAGGTGTAAAGGAGATTGTGTATAGTCCTGTACCTGCTCTTCTCTGGACTGGTGCCGCAGGTCGCAGGGTGGGACGATGGCTCGCGGGCGATGGGAGATCCAGTAGGCCAGAACCGCAGTGAGCGCCCCCAGACCCAGCAGAGTCGAGGTGGGCAGAGAACGGATAAACTCCCCCAGATCCTCCAGCTCCGGCAGATGAAGACCCAGCAGAAGATCCCGAGACTGCATCTTCTCCATCAGAGTGGAGCTGAGCTCTGACACACACACACACACACACACACACTATATGAACACAAGCTGATTTAAAAATCACACAAAGTCACAGCGACACAACACAGAGTTTATCTAGACCTCAACAGCGTTCGGCCTTCTTCTAATGGCTTACATATAAATAAGCTGTCTGACTATACTGAACACACACAACTAAACAACTCTGGAAATCAACAGAGCCTGTGCTCACTAAGGTCCTCTTTATTGATCCTCAAAAGCCAACAAAACCTGGAGACCTTTCGCTTTGATTCTACTGCCATCTGAACAATAATTAATCCTGTAAGCAACTCTAGTGTGATTATGAGTATTTTAAAAGGTAGATGTAATTATACAAGTATTTCATTTTCGGAATCTAAATGTAAAATGATCCAGCTGTAATCAGTCACTGTGTTTAATCAATTCAATCAGATCAATATTAACTCGTGAAAGTAAGGGTTGCTCCCTCTGACAGAAGATCTGTGTCTGTCTGTGCCAACTTTGGTTCATATTAATCTATTCTACTAACATGAACCCTGATGTACCAGTCTACTGATCCTCAAATGAGAGTTAGTCGCACAGTTATAGCGAGTGAAACGCCTGCCGATGGCCATGGAGCTGAAGCGTAACCCTTTCTTTTCTCTTTAGTGTTCGTCGTGTTAGTGACGAGTTACGGTAATGAACTCATGGACACACATGTGGCTGATCCTGCAGTTCGGCTTTATTTGTTGATCTCATTCATAACCTCTTCCAAGAATGGAGGTTGATCAACAGGAATTAGATTTCTTTAGCTGTTTCCCCTGTGGCAATCTCTCATGCAAAATGAGTATACCACATAAACATCATATGAAATCGCATCGGCGGAGTATCGAGAGCATAACTAATATCTCATAACTCATAACTCATAACTCACCGGTGCGAAGAGCAGAAGTGTCTGAACCGTGGAGCAGCGAACGCGGGATATTGACGCATCTGATGTTTAAAGTTCACGACCTCAGCTCTCGTCCTGGTCAATTTAAAAAGACAGCTAACTGGGAGATGGTGTAAAACACAATGAAAGGATCTGAATGTGCTGTTAGTGTCACAGAACTCTGGAGCTTACAATACTTTACTGTAGAATACTTACTCTGCTAATAACATATTGGAACTTGAGCTGGGCTGGGCTTTATACGACAACACTGTTGTTGTGTAAATGAACGGCTAGAACACATTAAAAAGTTTTCTGTTTTCAGTTGTCATAAACAGCCCCTAAATTAATAAATAATGATTTCAGATTCACTAAATGTGTGTTGGCAGACGGACCCCGCCCAATTAGCATAGACCCCGCCCATGACTGCTGACTGACCCCGCCCAATTAGCATAGACCCCGCCCACGACTGCTGACGGACTCACCCTATTAGCATAGACCCCGCCCATGACGACTGACAGACTCCGCCCTGTTAGCATAGACCCCGCCCACGACGACTGACAGACTCCGCCCTGTTAGCATAGACCCCGCCCACGACTGCTGACGGACTCACCCTATTAGGATAGACCCCGCCCATGACGACTGACAGACTCCGCCCTGTTAGCATAGACCTCGTCCATGACTGCTGACTGACTCACCCTATTAGGATAGACCCCGCCCATGACGACTGACAGACTCCGCCCTGTTAGCATAGACCTCGTCCATGACTGCTGACTGACCCCGCCCAATTAGCATAGACCCCGCCCACGACTGCTGACGGACTCACCCTATTAGCATAGACCCCGCCCACGACTGCTGACAGACTCACCCTATTAGCATAGACCCCGCCCATGATGACTGACAGACTCCGCCCTATTAGCATAGACCCCGCCCAAGACTGCTGACGGATCCCGCTGCATTAGCTTAGACCCCACCCACGACTGCTGACGGACTCACCCTATTAGCATAGACCCCACCCATGACGACTGACAGACTCCGCCCTCTTACCATAGACCCCGCCCACGACTGCTGACGGACCCCGCCTAGAGCCCTGCACAGGCCTCAAATCTAGGCCCTAGCCCGGCCGTGTCCGACAGCTCATCAGAATGATCAGCCCGAGTCCGACCCGAGCCCGTTATTTAAAAAAAAAAAGTAAAATAAATAAAAAAACCGTACACAGCCTGCCCTGTTGCAGCAGTCATTTAAACAGATATGTTTTGTCCTCAATGGCAAAGAAGTTACCGTTTAGATTATTTTCATTTCTTTATAAAGGTAATTAAGACAAATGTTTATTTTTATTTATTTTTTTATGACGACCAAGCACCCGACAGCGAGTTAAACATGTTTGATCCATTTATAGCCTCTCAAATCAACACGTTACTTGGCTACAATAAAATCCATAGATATAAAACAACTTAAACATATTCACACAGACAGTTAACGTTAGTTTAAACGTTTGTTAAACGTTTATTGTCATTTTTGAAAAGCTGAGGCAAACTGCTCTGCTGCTCGCAACAGCGCTCGTACAGTACAATACAATTTACAATACAGAGAATGCAATCTAAACAAATCAAATAAATTACATTAAAAACAAACATGCAGGTTATCTTACCTCAAAAATCAAGTCTTCACTACAGAACATGGCCATTCGTATTTCCAAAAGTTTCCAACAGACTCATGAAACTAAAGTCCAATTAAACAAAAAACAACAAGACAACCTCCTAAACAGTCTCTTACAGAGCAGCGTGCAGAAGAGGCACCATCCACCGAGGAAAGTTTTAATCCAGTCGTACTTTTTCCAGCTGCGCTGAAGTCACGCTCACGACTCCTGCTGCTGGCGGGACACTACACACAGAACGAGCCGGTCGCGCGCATCGCGTTGCCGGGAAAACTGTTTTGAACTCTCGGTAGAATAACTTTATTTATTGTGCACTTTCCACTTTTTTTAACTTTGTAGAAAGTTTACATCCACAAACAGCAATATTACACACTGCATGAAAGGGAATATTCGAAAAACCATGATAGGGGAACTTTAAAACATGTGCAGATAATAAACTTTCATGATGATAAAGAACTACAATGTCACATGATCTGAGGCAAGAGCTGTACAGGCTCCGCCCTCTTCTGGAAATTGGGCGGAGCAGCAGCTCATTTGCATTTAAAGATACATGCATGTTTTCCTTCCACTCAAAAAAGGCCATTTACAGCATTATAGTAACTGATCTGGGAGGTATTTTGAGCTGAAACTTCACACACACATTCTGGGGACACTGAGACTTAATAATTTGGATAGTTTAGCGTATTCATCTGGCCGTGATGAAATATATAATTGAGTGTCATCAGAACAACAGTGGAAACTAATTCCATGTTTCCTTATAATATTACCAAGTGGCAGCATATATATTGAGAATAATAGAGGGCCTAACACAGATCCCATAGTTTGCCGAAGTTATGATCGAGTTTTCTCCATTTAAGCAGACGAAATGGTAGCGGTCAGATAAGTATGACCTGAACCAGCTTAATGCCTGTCCCTGAACACCAGTGTAGTTCTGTAGTCGATCTAGGAGTATTTTATGATCTATAGTGTCGAACGCAGCGGTAAGATCAAGTAGGACTAGTATTGAGGTACAGCCTTGGTCCGAAGCTAGAAGTAGATCATTTGTGATTCTAACGCAGTTTCAGTGCTATGATGTGGCCTGAATCCTGACTGAAACTTTTCATAGATCTCGTTTTCTTGCAAGAAAGAGCCGAGTTGAGCGGACACAACTTTTTCTAATATTTTTGACATAAATTGAAGATTTGAGATGTAGATCTGCGTGTTGTTGCCATTCTCCCGGCATTCCATCGACTGGATTCGGGCCTTTCAGAAGCTGTCGCGGTAGTGATTTTGGGGTGCTTTATAGTTTCCTGGTCGATGGCGTCACCCGCCTATGACGTTCCATTAAGCCGTTGGACTCATTCCATACGTGCTTCATGACGCACAACGCAAGGGCCATTCCCACAGCGTTTCACGCAGCTCCAGTTCCTTACATGCCTAACCGAGACGTTCTTTACGGTCTCCATAGACAGCAAGAACAAGATAATTGTACCATTTACATTAATATTTGGCGAAATACAACATCGTATAATTAATTTCTGATTTGTTCAGGAATCTTAGCAGACATTGAGCATCATTGATAAACTGGAACAGATGTCATTTGAAAACGCCACAACAAACATCTGAACGTGAAGAGCAAGGATGAAAATATCTGGACAGTTATTTGGAGACTGGGACTAATGCATATGCTTGGTCAATACTGTATATTGATCTTATGGTTGTTTATGGCAACAGAACTGCTGAATTGTCTTTTGTAAGTATTGATTGTTTGTGAAGTCCATTTACTTGAAGCTTTCTTCCAGTCCAGACTGCATGTTTAACCGTTTTTCTGTGCACTCATAATTAACTCTGTTTAAGAAACACACCACTGTAATGCTGTAATTATTACTTATAATGACCAGCAAAAGTGGAGAGAAGCGCAGATGTCTTCACCGGCACGCATCTTTAGACGTGGCTTTCTGACTGGAGTGTCTTGGGAAACGACAGATAATCTGATGCACCTCGGCATCATTGTCCAGGCGTCCCGACGCATGAGCTTTCATTTATACGCCGTAGATTACGAACGGATTATCACCACTAAATACAGGCCGTGTGCAGGATATGATATATATTCCCATTCTGACAAAGCATTATTCTTTGAACACTGCTAAAAGATCATAAAGATGCAAACTTTTGAAAACATATGGTTTGGTGGCATTTCCAATCCTATGATCGTTCATCATTATATGATGTAACATTGGTTTTAAAGTCTGTGTGTGACATCAGTCCGCGTCAGAAGCAGCGCAGTGTCGTCGTCTAACAGATTAAACAGAGCTGTCCTTCATCATCATCTTCATCATGGACGAGACACAACTCAAACATCTCTAATAACTGGATAATAACTGAAGCTGAATATGTCAAAAGCTCAGATGAGGCACTTCCACTCCTCTTCATATTCAAAATCACTTCATAATTCTGTCAAATTAGAATGTTTGGTACCACTTTATATTAGATGTCTTCAACTGCTATATACAGGACTTACATTACAGATAATAGTTGTGGGGTTCAGTGCACTTCAAGTGTTGATGTTGTGAGACGGTGTGTTTAGGACACGTTTGCTGGTATGGGAAGGGTTAAAGCTGTGAATACAGTGTTGGAATTACAGAAATAAATACTACTTTGCAATTGCATGCAGGTATTTAAAAAAAAAAAATATAGTTTCTATAGCTGAAATGTTCTAAATTGCAACATTACAAAAATGGTAATATTGTATATGGCACTTGCATGAGAAACAAGATTTAGTAGAAATGACTCTAGAGTAGAGGTCGAGTTTTAATTTTAATTTGATCTGGTATTACCTTAGTTAATGTACTATAAAATAACACATAATAATGCATGCATGTAAAACTGTATATTGTATGCATATTTCATGAAAGCTGTTTACATCCTTGTTTCTAAGTTATAGCAAAAAACAAAACAAAAAAAAACACATATTTGACCTGTAATATTTTAATGTTTAAATTATTTTCTGTATAGTTTTTTCTATAGAAGTTCTCATTTTAATATATTCATTTTTTATATATATTTAATTTAGCACATTTCAGTTCAGCACAGTTTTACTGGGAGTGTTTGGTTTGTTTTTAATCCAGAATACATTTGAAAAGATATCAGTTCATTAATCGGCTATGGTCAAACCTAAATATCGGTATCGGCAAAATCCACTATCGGTCGACCTCTACTCAAGAGCATACTTTAGTTTCCCATAAATGCATGTCATGGCAGTACACTTACTGTAAGACAACACACATCATTATGAAATTACATATAAAGATGTACTGATGTACTTAAATATAGCTCACAAAAGCAAGATTAATGCATTTTAATTTACTTGCAACTAATGGAATAAAGTGTTAAAGTGAAAAACATTACATTGATTTGACACTGAAGTATCTTCTTTTAAAGTATGCTCTCTTTTGAAAGTGTGCTTCTCGAGTTCTCAAACCGACAGCTGGAACAGACTGATGCTATTCCTCCTCAAACACAGCACCTCATACTAGACCACCGTCTCCATCCACAGCCTTTAGAGCCTGTGGAGAGCGATGATTGGCCGCTGTCCACCCTGGGGGCGGGATCTGAAGAGTAAGCTCCGCCCCCATCCCTTTCACAGGAGATTATGGGCTATTAGTGCACTAACAGATGGACACGAGTGACCCTTGCTTTACACGCGCTATTCAGAGTCTGGCCACTTTTCCCTGGCCCGGAGTTCCTGATGTCACTTCCTGTCATGTGTGTGAGCCTCTGATGAAGTGCTCACCTGCATCTGTTACCCTACAGAGCTGTCTATACATGAGGCATCCCATAATAATGTGAGAGTGTGTGTGTGTGTGTGTCAAAAAAAAGCAAACACTGACCACCATCATGGTGACTTCAAATGAAACTATTATTTCATAAATAAAGTTAAACATAAAAACATAAAACACACACACACACACACACAGGCAGGGAAAGTGAAACGCATCAGTCTGCTGTGAGCCTCCGTGGCCACCGTATCACACCACCCTCAGCAGATGCATGTCTCTCGCCCCTCCCTCTCCCTCTCTCTCTCTCTCTCCTCCTCCATCTACCCTTGACTACATGATACGCAGGCTTAGCTTACAGCTCACACACACACACACACACACTGACGTATAAATAACAGATTCACAGAGACGTGTTTAGAGCGAGCGCAGGGAAACACAGCTATATCATCTATATCATCTATATCATCTATAATATCTATATCATCTATATCATCTATATCATCTATAATATCTATATCATGGTCTCAGTGTAAGACGTTATAAAGCACAGCTGTGTCCTGCACTATATCTGCCTGACCGGGGGAAGGTGTGTCACCTCAGGACGATTCACTTATATTTATTCTTCTACTTGAACACAGATGACACACATTGTGACGTCACAGCGCAGTTTAAAACACAAATAATATTCAGAAATGCTGCATTATTGATCTGACAGCAAGGAAACTCTCAGATGAGAACAAACCTCGAATCTGCTGAAGCGGCTTTGAAACAACACTGTAAAATCAAAACTCAAAACATCTCATCTGAACTGGACGCCTTTAAACTTTGGTTTCAGTGTTTCAGAAACTTTCAGTGAAGCAAGTCAACATGTCACTTATAATGTATCTCTGCCCCCCGAATCCCTCCAGCGACTACACACCGACAACAACCACACAAGACCAGTGTCTCCAGCATCACACATGACCTGACCAGTCTAACCCGTGTCACCAGTCTTCCCAGTCTTCCCAGTGTCACCAGTCCTGTGCTCACTCAGCACTTTATTCTGCACACTAAGCATCATTTGAGCCCTTCACACACTCATGAACATCAGTTTTCCCATTCAGCACACTGCAAAACCGCTGGTGGGACACACACACACACACACACACACACACACACACTCATGACTGCTGGCGAAAGAGGATCTCAGTCTTTCTGATGTTCCTGTAAACACCAGCGATCTGAAAGCAGAAGCGTTCACCAACACACTGTGGGATTCCCAAGATAGTTCACCCAAACAAGACAGCTCTGTCATCATTTACTCCAAACCAGCGCGTTTCTTCTTCTGTCACCCATCCACTGGTCAGTCACCAACATCCTTCACAATATCTCGCTGGCTGACAGAAAGAAACTCATGCAGGTTTGGAACAGAGTAAATTATAGAATTGTAATGTTTGTGTGAACTTCCCCTTTAAGACAGCTGAATATCTCAGTTTCATTTCTTTGAACATGTCTTCATAATGATGAACGTGTGCTTGTCCTGTCCACCACATTCCCTTTACAGTCAATGCCAAGTTGGCTTGTGAACGGGTCGCTGAGGGCCAGCTATGACGATACGCACATTTCAATCGAGAAGACAGAAAGTGTTCGTAAGCCTAAATCTTTAAATTATGGAAGACGAGGTAAAAGATTATGTTCGCCTCAGTCTCTCGTCACACTGGACCGCTGCATTATTCATGAGCAGCACATGGCAGCTGGAGGCTCAGGTTAGACGTGTCCAGGCACTGGTCGCTAACACATGGCCATGAAAAATGTATGATGTGAAGGCCACACTGTACAGAACGTGATCCACAAGTGAGTAAAATACCCTGCAGTGGTCAGTTCCTCATGCACGCATGTTCAAGTGAAGCTCTAGATATCTAGATGTGATTGTGAAGCTGCAGCAGCGCTATAGAGTTATAGACTCTGCCTACAGTGATGCTTGATGTTAACACTGAAGAAAGACTTTTCCCTGCCCGCAGAAGTCATAGTAAAGCAGTGCAGTGAGCAGTGGGCGGAGTCAGCACCTCTGCGCTGGACAGCTCCGCCAATCAGCAGGCGCGCTCGCCCATGACGTCGGCTCTGCGTAACAATGAAGCACGACGACACCGGCAAACTAGCCGCTTTAAAAGACGTGCTATAAAATGCGGCCCTGACACGAACAGAACAGAAATATGCCCCATATCTGTCTCCTGTCACCACATGTCACACACACACATACAGTCATTCTCACATATTAACGCGTCGCATAAGACCTGCAGCGTTTAATGCCGTAGAACAGAAAACATCACGATCAGCAACTTACGTGCTGCAGCCATCAGCCGCTTCATTTCCCGCAGCTCGCTTCCTCAATCAGAGGCGGATGTTAATGATCTAGCGATCTGAGCGAGAGACAGCAGTGAAGCTTCGAGACACGACAGGATTTGAGATCCTGAGCCTTTAATAATGTCCATCTCTGGCACTGCGGCACTGACCCGCGATCGGAGATGTGTTCTCCAGCAGAATAAACCAGTAAAACGGAACACTCACCTAGAACAACCCACACAGATCCAGCGACTAAAGCGAAGGCGAGCATGTCTCAGTCATGGAGAGTGTAGTTCAGTCCGACACACTGCTGCATGGAGAGAGAGAGAGAGAGAGAGAGAGAGAGAGAGAGAGAGCGATGCTGGTCCACAGGCCCGAGAGCGACAGACAGGTCTGAGTCTCGCCTCCTGTCTCCTCCCTCACGCGAGGATGATGATGATGAGGATGATGATGATGATGATGCGCCTATAGGAAGAGATGCTGCTGTTGGATGATTCCTGGAACGTCATGTGTGAATTTACACAGCATTAATAACATCAGGCTGCTTCTATTTTTATCACCAGGACTAACTTTTACTAAATAACCCCATTCCCGTGCGACCCAATCTACTAGTGTAGTCATGATGTGTGTGTGTGTGTGTGTGTGTGTGTGTGTGTGTGTGTGTGTGCATTTTCAGAGATTCATTTCTGTCTATGAGAAATGCAATACGTTGTGTTTATAGTTAATGTACAATTTTTTATCAATTTTTTTTTTTGATGAAGTGACATCGCACTCTTATCAGTCTCTTATCTCTTGCTCCGTCAGCCATTCACCGGTCCCCACAGGAGTCACGTGATCCTCGGCCCCACCCCCTCCTGTTTAACCTTGAGCAGCTCTCCTTCTCATCCAGAGACGGCAGGTCACGTGATCGAACGCTTATCACACGCGTTCAAGAATCAAAGTTTCAAGACACACATGGGCCAATCAAATGCATTTGGAAATACAGATGTCGAGTGCTTTAACACATAATAATGACATCTTTGTGTTGAGACGTTTTTTCTTATTTGCTGGTGAATGAGTAAAACACAGAGGAAAGAGAGAGAGTTGCAGAGAAGGACAGGCTGACAGTGACGCAGTGCCGTGGATTTGCCACTCAATCCAATGTGACCGAGCTGTTAAAGCAGATGGCCAGAGATTTACTCAAGCTCCTCTCTCCGAATACACTCCTGACAGTGTGTGTGTGTGTGTGTGTGTGTGTGTGTGTGTGTGTGTCTGAACACACTGGCTCACTACACACACTGGCTCACTACACACTGGGACACTACACACACTGGCTCACTACACACTGGCTCACTACACACACTGGCTCACTACACACACTGGGACACTACACACACTGAGACACTACACACACTGGCTCACTACACACACTGGCTCACTACACACTGGCTCACTACACACACTGGTTCACTACACACACTGAGACACTACACACACTGGGACACTACACACACTGGCTCACTACACACACTGGCTCACTACACACACTGAGACACTACACACACTGGCTCACTACACACACTGAGACACTACACACACTGAGACACTACACACACTGGGACACTACACACACTGGGACACTACACACACTGAGACACTACACACACTGGTTCACTACACACACTGGGACACTACACACACTGGTTCACTACACACACTGGGACACTACACACACTGGCTCACTACACACACTGGGACACTACACACACTGGGACACTACACACACTGGGACACTACACACACTGGGACACTACACACACTGGCTCACTACACACTGGCTCACTACACACACTGGGACACTACACACACTGGGACACTACACACACTGGGACACTACACACACTGGGACACTACACACACTGGCTCACTACACACACTGGGACACTACACACACTGGCTCACTACACACACTGGGACACTACACACACTGGGACACTACACACACTGGGACACTACACACACTGGTTCACTACACACACTGGGACACTACACACACTGGCTCACTACACACACTGGCTCACTACACACACTGGTTCACTACACACACTGAGACACTACACACACTGAGACACTACACACACTGGTTCACTACACACACTGGCTCACTACACACACTGGGACACTACACACACTGGGACACTACACACACTGGGACACTACACACACTGGGACACTACACACACTGGGACACTACACACACTGGGACACTACACACACTGGCTCACTACACACTGGCTCACTACACACACTGGGACACTACACACACTGGGACACTACACACACTGGGACACTACACACACTGGCTCACTACACACTGGCTCACTACACACACTGGGACACTACACACACTGGGACACTACACACACTGGGACACTACACACACTGGTTCACTACACACACTGGGACACTACACACACTGGGACACTACACACACTGGGACACTACACACACTGGTTCACTACACACACTGGTTCACTACACACACTGGGACACTACACACACTGGGACACTACACACACTGAGACACTACACACACTGGGACACTACACACACTGGGACACTACACACACTGGGACACTACACACACTGAGACACTACACACACTGGCTCACTACACACACTGGGACACTACACACACTGGGACACTACACACACTGGGACACTACACACACTGGTTCACTACACACACTGAGACACTACACACACTGGTTCACTACACACACTGAGACACTACACACACTGGCTCACTACACACACTGGGACACTACACACACTGAGACACTACACACACTGGTTCACTACACACACTGAGACACTACACACACTGGTTCACTACACACACTGGTTCACTACACACACTGGTTCACTACACACACTGAGACACTACACACACTGGTTCACTACACACACTGAGACACTACACACACTGGGACACTACACACACTGGGACACTACACACACTGAGACACTACACACACTGGTTCACTACACACACTGAGACACTACACACACTGGTTCACTACACACACTGAGACACTACACACACTGGTTCACTACACACACTGGGACACTACACACACTGGCTCACTACACACACTGGCTCACTACACACACTGGTTCACTACACACACTGAGACACTACACACACTGAGACACTACACACACTGGTTCACTACACACACTGGGACACTACACACACTGGCTCACTACACACACTGGCTCACTACACACACTGGTTCACTACACACACTGAGACACTGATGTCTCTCTGGCAACATGACAGCGTCTTCACTCTGACACCACTATTGATGTACAACATCAAAACAACATTATGTCCTAAATTTACATTTATGCATTTGGCAGACTCTTTCCAAAACTTTTATCCAAAGCAACTTACATTGCATTTCAATGTACACATTTCCATTCTTATCAGTTCTTGCCTTCCCTGGGAAATGAGCCCTTGACCATGGCAATACAACAGCTACAATAAAGTCTAACAGCAAGGACATTATGATAAATACTTTTCTTGTTACATATAAGTGCAACATTTCAGCCGTAAATCATTTATGAATGTTAGAATGAATGAATGAATGAATGAATGAGGCATTTATATAGCGCTTTCATATGTACTACTGTACACCCAAAGCACTTTTACAATCATGTCAAGGGGTCTCTCCTCATCCACCTCCACTTGGATGATGCGACGGCAGCCAGGCACTCACCACACACCAGCTACAGGTGGAGAGAGGAGAGACAGTGATAGAGCCAGTTCAGTGGATGGAGATTATTAGGAGGCCATGATTGGCAAGGGCCAATGAGTGGAATGTGGCCAGGACACCGGGGTTACACCCCTACCTACTCTTTACCAGGGGTGCCATGGGATTTTTAATGACCAGAGAGAGTCAGGACCTCTTTTTTACGTCTCATCCGAAGTACGGTGCTTGTTACAGTATATGTCCCCATCACTTTACTGGGGTGTTAGGACCCACATACTGTAGACCACACAGGGTGAGTGCCCCCCTCACTAACACTTCTACCAGCAGCAACCTGGTTTTCTCAGCAGGTCTCCCATCCAGGTTCTGACCCAGCTCAGCCCTGCTTAGCTTCAGTGGGCTACTCAGTGATATGTTTACATTTTTCAGTCCAAATTAAACATGATTTAATGATTCGTAAATGTAAGTACACATTGATGGCCTAAGACACGAAACGAGCGGTTTGTGTGAGAAAATGAACAGTATTTATATAGTTTTAAACCGAAACTGAACCGAACTGAACCGTCTCCAAAGTTATGCTGGAAGTGATCTATCGCGCGTCTACGTCATGTATTGCTTACACAGAGATTTCGGAAGTTTTACCTTTCACTAAGCATATTTAGATATACAGGAAACGATTTCAATATATCTAAATATGTTCAAATCATCAAAATGAATTCAAAATGACTCTGTGGAAACAAAGACACCTACATCTTGGATGCCCTTGAGGTAAGATAAAACATATCAAAAATTAATTTCAAAGTGAACTATCCCTTTAAATGTTTTCCCAAGTCTCAAATCGAGCCGTTCGATCGTGTGACGTCAATAAATCGGACGCCCCTCCCACGATTGTTGATTGACAGCAGTTACCCGCCCTGAGTGAGCGGTCATCATAGTCCGCTATTGTTGATACGCTGGAGCAGAATGGCGTCTAAGCGATTGCGGTGTTCTGTTCTTCGGTGTAATAACGAACACAGAGTCATTTTGATGATCCGAACCGCTGAAGACGCAGTGGCTGAGTTTTGTTTTCGAAGGGAATTTTCCCCATGATCAACGTCAACGCATGTTTGCGCGAATCATTTCTCAGCAGACTGCTTTATAAACGAGGATCAGTATAAAGCTGCTCCTGAAAACTATTCGTGTTCCTGCTGCACCTCCAGAAGAAGTGTGTGTAACGCTTTATTAACCTTTATATTAATCTTTGCAAATCGCTTGCACACTTCACGATGAATGTGGAAGGTTTACGCTCAGGGTACATTACGGCATGTTTTCTATGTAACTTACAACATTCTCAATATAATTCATAATCTCACGTTTATAATGAACAACACATTAAAGTTATTGTGTTACTACAAACCGAGTACATATACATCAGTAAACTGTAGCGTTCGTACATCTCACTGTTACTCGACCTTGCCAGTACACAAAGATAGATCAAAGTGACATTACGTTATCGCGCGCCCGATGGTTTTATTTTATTTTACAATAGCACAACGTTTTCTTGTAATTGTGAGTTTACGCAAATAAAACTACTTACGAATAATGTATTATTTTCTGCATGACCAAAAATGATAGAGTATTTTAAGTTGTTTCCACTGTTGATCGAAAATGCAAGTGTTCGCGCCTGCGCCTCCCTGCCATCCAGTGCGCGCACACACACTCGCACACACACTTGGATATGCGTCAAAATGTTGTGTTTATTTGTGATAATCTTAGCCCTGTATTATTATTGTCTAACCTCTAATATGAATGACATGTAATGAATAGCTTTGTTCCTTTTTTGGATAAAAGCGTCTTCTAAATGTAGCCTAATAAATGTTATAATAATGGTGATAATTATTATTATTATTCTCGGACCCCAAACAAACACCGCGTCTTCAGTTGACTCTAAATGCACAAAAACTGTGCCTAACCCCAAAGCCTAAACGCAAAAAAAAGCAATAAGTTTTGCACTATTCCTTTTTCGAATTGCCTGAAACAGCTCCTCATGCGAGCGTAAAAACTTTTGTGCGATAAATGAGTTTTTGCAAAATGGACGTGTTTCCATTGTGTATTTTCTATTTCAATTTAAATTTTCGCAATTTGAATGGTAATGGAAATGCGCCAGTGTGACCTGACATTAGACACACAGAGAGAGTTTTTTTAAGGTTTAAAGCTACTTTACTTTACTTTTTTTTTTTTAAAACACTGCATACATAATATCTTAGATAAAAAATACTCAAACACAAACTTTTTATTCAACACAAAATCTTAATTTGAATTTGAAACCCATTTCTTCATCTAACAGTACATCATCATAAAATTGCGATTTGACTTTTTTGATTTTAAATAGTGTGTAATGTTGCTGTTGGTGCATGAACAGTATCTGCTAAGTTGCAGCGCTTTAAAAATCAGGAAGTACTGTATAATTGTCTACAAAAACGACTGGATTGGGACTACAGCTGGGTTATGGTACGTCACTAACCCAAACATTTGCATCAACCCTCCCTCCGGAATATATGCAGGAAAGGGCACGGCCATATTTCTGTGGCTCGTCGAGTGTGTTGTTCACGCAGCTGTCAGGTCTTCTGATCGGCGTTCGTAGATCGACTGGTAGAGACTATTTTTCAAAGATGGCTTCTTCCAGTATTCGCGAAGTTGACAGTGTGTATAAAATATCTTCTTATTAAACTGTTTGGACACTGACAAAGTTCTCAATGCTTCCATTTGAACGTAGAGACCCTTGTTATGCTGTCGTGTTACTGTGGGGCTATTTTGAGCCTTGTTAGTGGTAATAACAAGCGATTTTTATTTGTCATTACTCTATGCCCTATATACTAGCGTTATACTAGCATTATAGGCTAAACTGTTTTTAGAGATAAAAATATTTACATTCGCCAATCATGAAAACAAATCTCAGATAACGGTTGACTAGGTAACAATGTGTAATTAGACCAAAGGTTCATTTTGTGCCGGAGTTCTCCTTTAACTTCTAGAACAAAAACTCATGTCTTATTCCTGCTTTCTCTCCTAACTCCTAAAGTCCCGTCCATATCGTGTCCTTCCCTTCCTTCTATCCTTCACCGTAAAAACTGTCCTTGCTTGGCAAAAATGAAATTCAGTAAAAGCCCTTTTCTTCTATTTTCTGTCCAATATTTAAAACCATAAATAAATCCTTAGAAAATACAACTTTGAAACCATGCTAAAATTCCTTGAAGTCTCAAAAATAAACACTCCAATCTGTTGCAAAATGAGAAACAGTGAAAATCGTGAAACCTTGACACAATCTCGAGAGAGAGAGAGAGCGAGCGAGGGAGAGAGAGAGAGAGCATGTTTCAGCATGGCCCACTGATCGGATCTAACAGAGGATGATGCCAGACGGTGCCAGCGGGTTTCACATCTGAGGATCTGGTGTCGGGTTTCCAGGGGAATATCGCTGGACTATCCTCGGGAAAACCCAGGAATCCACAGAGCAGAAACTCCACAGGAAAACCCCGCCTCCTCCCGGGGCCAGGACACGCCCCCTTACGTCACATCCCCATTATGTCACATGCTGAGCTGCAGAGGGAGCGCGCATTACTCGCAGATCTGTATTTAACTGCCATCATTAAGTTACTCTAGCTCCATTTTCTGGTGTTTGGTATAAAACATGTTCTTGTCCCCTGGCACGGTTTTATTTTAATTTACTTTGTATTTTATTTTTGTATTGTATTGTTCTGCATCATGGCATTAATAAAAGTACAAAAGTAGGCTATTTAAATGCCTTTATATTACCTTGTTATTGTCTATCTGTACACATTTGTCTTTGATACGTTTGATCAGTTTAACATCTCGAGTCCTACAGTCTCTGAGTGAGGGCAACTCGCGGGAATGGAGCTGGACTATATCAGCTGTCCGCAACACACACACACACACACACACACTTTCAGCAAACGCAATACTCGACCCTCATGATAGCTCTCAATCTCACTTCCTGGGCATGAACAGAAATCTCGAAACCTAAAATACCAAGCTCATGTCTCATGCCTGGTATTCCAGGACTGCCATAGGCTGAAACACCCAAACCTGCTCCGTTTCTTTGAAACGCTGCTCTTACAGTAACGCGCTTCTGTGCGTGCACGTGCGCGAGCGCGCCCTCTCCCGGCGCAAACACGCGCGTTTCCCGGAAAACCACTGACTTCTCACGGACTGAACTGAACTCTGGCACTCGTGTTTCACTCACAACTACTGTCATGTAATTCACCTGTCGGGACAACTCACAGCATCGACCTTTATATCCACACTCCCTTAACAATGTTGGGTTCAAAAATAACGTTTTTACATTCACAGAAATAAAATGCCTTCATGCACGAAACGTTGCTGCTGGTGGCGGATTCATTGCATTATGATTGATATAATGCATATAATTATATATTTCTATGTACATTTTCCGGCAGCCCTGGAGGTTCACTGTAAATTGCGGAAATTAATTGCTGATCACTGTCACCGTGTCATTAATGTGTGTGTGTGTGTGTGTGTGTTGTGGTATGTCGAGGGCGTGAGTGTGTGTATGTTTATCCAAACTCAACTGTCTTCCGCACTCAGTTGGTGTATCTCATAACAGCATGATTTCTCGGAAATCAGCCTGTCTGCTCTGTGGAGCGGCTGGCTCCCTCTGCGCATGCGCGAGCTCAGAGTGTGTGTCAGCGCGAGGGATTTTTCCCCACAAGGCAATATAAATAAGCGCAGCGCGCTCCTTCTGTACAGTAAACGACAGCTTATCTCGACTGAACTCGATCTGCAGTTCACAGAGTGGATTGACGCCTTTACAGGACATATTTCTTTAGCATTTCTCTGATTTGGATACAACATCGGAATATACTGTAAGTGGCAAAGATAATGTCTTTTAAAAAAAAACTTTTTATTGCATTTATTGCTGTTTCTTGGAAATGTTAATGAGACAAATTTCACTGCAATCGATTTTTTACTGGAAAATAATTAAATTAAGCTTATATTCTGATTATTTAGATTTATATTTTGTAATTAATGCAAGTTAAAGGAAATGTTCAACATGCAGGAACAAATGTGCAAAACGACAACAATAACATTTAAAGTAACTTTCTCAATTTTCTTAAATGTGTATGCATTTACTACAAAAAAATAGCTTGTAAAGAAATAAATAACTAAAAAAAGATCTGAATTTTGCACGGTGAAATTTGTCAGACTATAAACAAAGCGCTAGTTTCCTGGTCTTGAGCTCATGCGCGCGCAGCCAGTGTGTGTGTGTGTGTGACATTCTCTGTGCTCCTCTGCAGAAACATGCCTGTGTCCCGAATGCGCATGCGGCCCTGGCTGGAGAGCGCCATCGACTCCAACCGCATCTCTGGACTCGTGTGGGTCAACAAGGTAAAGCAGAGCGAGACAGCGCTCACACTAACATCTAGATATCAGCAGCGTTCTCACGGGTTCATGCTTTCAGGAGGAGAAGATGTTCTCCATCCCGTGGAAACACGCCGCTCGCCACGGCTGGGAGATGGACAAAGACGCGTGTCTGTTCAAGCAGTGGGCCATCCACACAGGTGAGCGCGCACACACACACACACACACTCACACACACACACACGCTCAGATCCCTGTACTCACCCCCCTGTGGTTGTGTTCCTCAGGTAAATTCAGGGAGGGCCAAACCTCTCCGGACCCCAAGACGTGGAAAGCGAACTTCCGGTGTGCGATGAACTCTCTGCCGGACATCGAGGAGGTGAAGGACCGCAGCGTGAACAAGGGCTGCGGCGCGGTGAGGGTGTACCGGATGCTGCCCGCAGTCTGCAAGAAGAAGGACAAGAGACCCAAGGGCCGAGACAGCCGGAGGCGGACGAAGGTGAGCCGAGTCTCGAGCGCCAGTGAACCTGTGCTGTGCTGTCCGACCGCCCACTGAACCTGTGTGTGTGTGTGTGTGTGTGTGTGTGTGTCCCTCAGGCTGCGTCCTCACATGTCAAGAAGGAAGAAGTAAGCGCAGATGAGATGCAGGAGCCCACCATCGACAGCACAATCCTCAGTAAGAGATGCTACAGCAAGTCTGAGACGAGTGTGAGACGAGTGTGAGACGAGTGTGAGAAGAGTGTGTGAGCTGAGACGAGTGTGAGACGAGTGTGAGACGAGTGTGAGACGAGTGTGTGAGACAAGTGTGTGAGCTGAGACGAGTGTGAGACGAGTGTGAGACGAGTGTGAGACGAGTGTGTGAGACAAGTGTGTGAGCTGAGACGAGTGTGAGACGAGTGTGTGAGCTGAGACGAGTGTGAGACGAGTGTGAGACGAGTGTGTGAGACAAGTGTGTGAGCTGAGACGAGTGTGAGACGAGTGTGAGACGAGTGTGAGACGAGTGTGAGACGAGTGTGAGACGAGTGTGAGACGAGTGTGTGAGCTTCAGTACTCATCCCCGCTCCTCTGTTTTCCAGCAGACTCCCCGAGCCCCATGATGGACACTGAGATCCCCGGCTGTGAGACGAGTGTGTGTGAGACGAGTGTGTGTGAGGAGGTGGCGGGGCCGGACAGCTCCAGTGGTCTGTACACCAGCAAGTTCCAGGTGTCGCCCATGCACTCGACAGGTAAGGAGCGCTCTCTGAGTTCAGCTGTTCCTCCAAACGCTGGAGCCGGTGTTCACTGTTCTCTCCTCTTCTCTCCATCTCTCCCTCCCGCATCTCTCCATCCGCAGACCTGGAGGACTACGAAGCCATCATCGAGGTGAGTGTGTCCATTGTGCTTGTTCATTGGCAGGGACACCCCGCTTTAGCGCCTGTTATTGGCGATGTGATTGACTGAAATCAGAAGCCCGTCACTCACCAGTGTGCTTCGCTCTTGCAGCTCTCGCGGCAACTGGAGCGTGACAGTTCACAGTGGCTTCAAGGTGGCGTCTTTGGAAAGGGGTTCCTGGGCAATGAAGTAGGCACAACTGAGTCTTTGAGTCCAGAGAGCCAGTGGAGTGTAAGTTCAGGTAAAGACAGGAGCAGGAGCAGTCAGAAGAGCTTCAGCACGTGTTCTTGATCTCCAACTCACGAGTGTGTGTGTGTGTGTGTGTCATGTTTCTGCAGGAGAAGAGCTGGAGTTTCGTCTCTACACCGAACTGACCCCGGAGGAGCCGCTCTGCACATACACTGAGCTGGTGACCAGCAGCTCCGGCCCACAGATCATGTGTCCTCTCTGAGAACACACACACACACACTCATGGACAATGAACCTTGTACCTCATGCCTCAGGGATCCTCCCTGCCGTTCCTCCTTCTTCTGGACATCTGCTGGTTTCCTCTGAACACATCCATCCCGTGGACACACACGGACACACACGGACACACACGGACACACACGGACACACACGGACACACGCGGGTCCTCCGGAGATGATCGTGGCTTTGCTTCCTCTTGTACAGTTTTCTGATCTGATGTAATGTGAATTGGACAGGTTCCGTTATGTGTTCATGTCAAGGGGTTTCAGATGTATACTCACACACACACACACACACACACACACACTCCATGTATCAAATGAAGCTGTTTGTTCGAGTATGGGATGGGGTTCTTCACTGTAAATATAATGTAAATATTTATTTGTAATAAAAAACAAAATGAATTTATTTGCTGTTGCTCGTGGTTTCTTGAGAGTTTTTTATTTTTGTCATGATGAAAGTTATGAAGGCTTCGGTCATGTGACTGAACATCATCACAAACAACAATCAGATTTGTTGACATGTTTATGTTTGTGTATGCACACACACACACACACACACACACTGGGAATTTGTTTTGCTGACAGAAGATACACAGAGTAAAATAAATAAAAATAAGATATATGTTAATAAGACACACATAGAAACATATACTGTATGAATAGACAAAATAAACACATTTATAAAGTAAATAAAATTATTGGAAATCACCATTTCAAAACTAACATTTTATAAACTATTATTTTAGTAGTTTTCTTTATAAATCAATATTTTCAAGCGCAGTGTAAGTTTTCTTTTATGAGCTGCACTTTATAAACTAACACCATTGCCCTTTGTATTATCAAACGTAATCTCATGAAAGTGTGTATTTATGGCACACTTAAATCTCCTGGGTAGGGTTAGGGCTGTGGAGTGAAAAAAGTGTGTGTCATATGCATGCAAAAACTGTTTTTGGTGTATAAATAGCAGGAGAAATTCATGGTATAGATTTGCGCTTTCATGAGATCAGGCTGGTTAGACAGAGAGAGAGAGAGAGAGAGAGAGAGAGAGAGAGAGAGAGATGCACATCCACTTCACTATACTGATCTGTGCTGAATGAAGTCGAGTCGCTGTTCCCGCAGTTCACTCGTGGTGTTTTCCTCCCAGCCTCTCTTTTCATGAACAGAAGGATGGTTAAACTTAATTATCTCATCGACGTCGTGAACTTTGATTACAGTAACTGCGCTTTGACGCGAGGAGGAGGCGGGGTCTTGAGTATAAGGAGGATCGGCTCTGCTTCAGTGTGTTCCTCCTAAGGTCTACCAACATGTCTCCTGCCCGACCAGAGGTGACCGAACCTTGGACACGGAGTACACACACATCCCAGAAGCCTCCAATCACTCCCTCACCTGCGTCAGTCTGACCATCTCTCCTGCTCCTGCGTCAGCGGGTGACCCCACCGTGAGGACTGTGACCTCTGACCTGAGGGAGCAGAGGCCGCTCTACCGCTTGGGTTTCAGCGCACGGGCTGGAGTCTGTTCGCCACCAAGACCGCCTCTTCACCTTGGACGTTCGTCTACTGCTAAAGGCTGATAGCTAACCTGAAAAGGGGAACACGAAACGCCAAACACAGCCACAAACGGCAGATCACAGCAGAAAAGATAATTCAACCCCCCTACCACTACTACTACCTCCTTTGCTAATGAGCTTTATGTCCGCTTTGACCAGGACTGCAACACTACGCCCGTCAAAACTGCCCTTCCAGCTGATGACCAACCCCTCAGACTCACCGTCAGTACTGAGCAGGGGGAAGGTCCGGGTGGCGTCCCTGGGTGCGTGTGGAGAACTGCCTGGAGTCTTCACTCATATATTTAACCTGTCACTGGCCCAGGCTATTGTGCCTCAAGACCATCATCATCATCATCATCCCTGTGCCCAAGCCATCAAACCCAGAGTGCATGAATGACTATCGACGGCTGGCATCGACCCCCATTATCGCCAAATCATGGGTATTGGCCTTTCTCATCAACAGACCCCAGATGGTGAGGTTAAATCCCCTCTTCTCTTCTGAACAGCGGTGTGCCACTCAGTCCATTACTGTACACCCTCTTCATCCAGTACTCCACCCGCAAATCTGCAGACAATCTAGCGGCGTTTGTCTTGAATAATGAATCAGCACACAGGGAGGAAGTGCAGCGCTCGGCTGCTGGTGTGCAAATAACAACCTTGCACTCAACACCTCCAAAACCAACCTCTGTGTTGACTTCCGGAGAGCGAAGGCACCCACACACACGTTCACATCAACAGGCCTGAAGTAGAGCAGACAACGCCTCTTCTTCCTCCTGTCCCTCAGATCCTCCGTAACTCCTGACGCTTATCTCACTGACTGCTTCTGGACTGCACAACGGATAACGGGAAAGCCCAGCAGCGAGTGGTGAAAACTGCTCAAAAAATCATTGGCACATCTCTCCCGGCCATCACTCCCGGCCCCCGTCCCCCTCTGCCCCTGTCCCCCTGTGCCATAATGCCCCCGTGCCCCTGTGCCATAATGCCCCGTGCCCCCGTGCCCCCGTCCCCCTGTGCCCCCGTCCCCCTCTGCCCCTGTCCCCCTGTGCCATAATGCCCCCGTGCCCCTGTGCCATAATGCCCCTGTGCCCCCGTCCCCCTGTGCCCCCGTCCCCCTCTGCCCCTGTCCCCCTGTGCCATAATGCCCCTGTGCCCCCGTGCCCCGTCCCCCTGTGCCCCCGTCCCCCTGTGCCCTCGTCCCCCTGTGCCCCCGTCCCCCTGTGCCCTCGTCCCCCTGTGCCCCCGTGCCCCTGTGCCATAATGCCCCTGTGCCCCGTGCCCCCGTCCCCCTGTGCCCCCGTCCCCCTGTGCTGGCACATTTGGCACTTTTAGACCCCACTGACTATTCCAGTGTCCATTCTTCAAAAGTCCTGCTTGTTTACAGAAGAAAACAGGAGTTTGTATGTGTTGGTAACTTGACTCCTGACGCTTATCTCACTGACTGCTTCTGGACTGCACAACGGATAACGGGAAAGCCCAGCAGCGAGTGGTGAAAACTGCTCAAAAAATCATTGGCACATCTCTCCCGGCCATCACTCCCGGCCCCCGTCCCCCTCTGCCCCTGTCCCCCTGTGCCATAATGCCCCCGTGCCCCTGTGCCATAATGGCACAGGGGCAGTCAGTGAAAATGCACGCATTGACTTTAATGGAAACCTATTGACTCCGCCGCCGTTCCTGAGCGGATCCGCAGCCGTTCCGCAGTTGGTGGAAATTGGGGGTTAGAGTCTGCTTAAAACCTCCGAAACGTCTAATCATGTTTAGATTTCCTGGAAACCTGTTCCACAAGCTTGTTTCCACAAACAATAAAGATTCTTGACCTAAATTACTCTTAACTGTAGAAGGTACTAAACCAGTCGATCTGCCCCTGGTGGAGGAGCGGTGAACCTCTCTCTCGCTTTCTGCACCGCTGCACTACTTCCTGATCTTCAGCCAGATCCATTATTGGACACACTCGATTAATTCAGGTGTGTATAATTTTTGTTGTTGTGACGACTGAGGTCAGACACACCTGGATTAATCAGTTTGTCCAATAATGGCAGACAGGAAACAATGAGCTGGCTGAAGTTCAGGAAGTAGTGCAGCTGTGCATAAAGCCAATTGCTGAAACATTTAGGGACAGTCCCATCCGCATCTGAGAGACTCGATCTTCTACTTTTAAGACAGTAATTCTGCTTCATTCATTTCAACAAACACTTCCTCAGTCTGGAGAGGTTGATCTCTGTAATGCTGATATGGTGAAATCAAGAGAATTTCAGTCATTATTCAGAAAACAAAAAGCTTTTTATTGTATTTCTTTTTGTGAGGAAACAAACTAGAGATCATTAGAATCTCATTCATCAGCTCACTTTGGATAAAAGCATCAAGTAAATGCAATAAAATAAAATAAAACATTATAAGTGAAGAAATCCATTGCCGGAATGAAGTGGTCGGATGGAGAGTTTTGGGCCGATGATGGGCCGTTTCTTCAGCCGCTCTTCATCGGTAAGAAGCTTCATCTCCTGTGTGAAATCTGGTCCCTGAAACAGAGGAAAAGAGAAAGAGAGAGTCAAGCTTCCTCAAACTCACTGGATACGCTGAGGCGACACACGGGAATGCCTGTTTTCTGTCAGAGAGAGTAAAGCACACATCACATGCATGACGTCGGCCTGGATTGGGGAATCTGGGATGTGTAGCGCTCAGCGAATCTGTTCCCGAACCCCATCAGAAGACCCTTCGCTAGCTTTCATCTTGAGGACGTGTACTCTGTCCCTGCAGAGAGTTTCAGACTCGTAGGACAGCATGCCAGCGACTACACCACCAACATCTCAGCCAGTGATTTTATCTGTTTTTTTAAGTTAAACACAGAAGCCTTAAACATTCCCGCGGCTATAGGATCTCATCCGAGCGCTTGATCTACTCTAATCTTACGATCAGTCTCTCGTCACACACACACATGTGCTGATAACAGTCAAAACATAAGAGCATTTCAACGACACTGCACACTCAATCATTGATGATTTCCTTGCACTATAAGTCAGCAAAGAGCAGTGATGTTGATGCTCTCGAAACCAGAGACAGTGCGTTATTAATATTCGACACTCAGCACGATTAATACCTGTCTTTATTACTTTTTTATCACATCCAATCATGTGGATTTGACAAAGCCCAGATCCGGCCCACATCCGTACATGTGGATTTGACGTGTACCAGATGAGGGCCGGAAGTGAGCAAATTAAACTTTCAAGTTGGAAATTCACATTCAAATTCACATTCACATGAATTGGACATTAAAAATAATTAGTGAAATAAATTCTTTATTATAATGAAAAATCAATAAGCTGCACAATGCAATTTTTTTCATAAAAAACAACAACAAAACGAATCAAAACCAAGAATCGTCCATTTTGGTTTCATGGTGACTTTCACAATTCCAGAACCATTAGGTAAAAGTTAGTGGCCTTCTGTCTCACACGGGACGAAGAGGATTAAGTATAAAGTCAATTTTTCAGTTTAAAGTGAGTAATAATAAACACATATCCAGCAGAATGACCTGTAACTCGCTGACGTGAGGCGATCCACCCGACGTTAAACGGGACACGCTCATGTCTCACAGGCCAGATCAGTTGCTGAAGAGATAGTTCATCCATGAATGAATCATTCTGTCATCATTTACTCTCTCTGTTCAAAACTGTATGACTTTCTTTCTTCCGTGCCATTTGAGGAACATCTCAGTGTTTCCTGTCCATTACATGAAAGTCAATGGGGTCCAATGCTGTTTGGTCCGAGGTTCTTCTTTTTTGTTTGAACAGAATGAGTGTGTGTGTGTAAATGATGGCAGAATGATTCATTTTCAGAGAGAAATAAAGACTTCTGTTCTGTCCACATTAATCTTCTGTGTTCATGAACTGCTGTATCTCTCTCTCTCTCTATTCTGACAGAAGATGTTGATTGATGTGTCTGGATTCCTGTAGTTATTAAGTCTCACACTCGCTGATAAACACACTGAACAGGATTCTGGGAGATCCTGGTTACGGGCCGCTGTTGTTATCTTCCTGTTTGTGTTCAGACGATTGTTGTTAGTGACACGTTTGGTTTTTCAGGTCAGGGCAGAAAGTGATTAAAGCTTTGGACTCGTCCAGCCAGTCCAGCAGCCGCTCGTACATGCGATGAATGTTTCGTGTGGTTTGAATGTTTGGCATTATGTAAGTATTTGCACATCCAACACTATCCGTGCCGCTGGAGCGCTGCTGGTCTGAGGCATCGGCACCCATTAAACATCAACAAATCACGCCGTATGCTCTCATTAGTTGATGTGTTCATGAGCTCAAGGCTAGATGACTGTACTGCTCTACTGGGTGTTTGTCCTGCACTCTTAATAAACAAACTCCAGTGAGTCCAAAACGCAGCCGCTCCAGATCTCACCAGAACCAGGAAGATTGACCATATTAGCCCGCTTCTGTCAACCCTGCATTGGCTGCCTATTAAACATCGAATACTAGGGTGACCAACTCTCCTGTTTTCCCAGGACATGTCCTGTTTTCATATAACAATATAACAATTTTCTATCCATACAGAGGAGGCATAACCTACATTAAATGTATTAAAATGAATAAGGTATCTTTGAGTAAACTTCGAGTATCATTTGAGTTGGCCCATGTGTTTGCTGGGCCGAGTGTCCTGGTTCTTGGTAATCAAAATATGGTCACCCTATCGAATACATGTTTAAATATTGCTGATTACTTATAAAGCACTGAATGGTTTATCTCCAGTACTTGAGCGAGCTCTTAACGCATTATAGTCCTTCACGTCTACTGCGATCTCCAAACTCCGGCCGGTTGATAATACCGAGAATATCTAACTCGACTGCAGGCGGGAGATCCTTTTCCTGTTTAGCACCAAAACTCTGGAACAATCTTCCTAACCCTGTCCGGGAAGCTGCAGACACACTCTGGCAGTCTGTACTCCTGTGAAGGCCTCAGCACTGATCCTCACACACACACACACACACACACCAGCGGGATCAAGACATCTCCATGCAGAAGAACTGATATATGATACATGAGTGCTCCTGATCTGACCTCTGACCTGTGATGCTCTGGATCATGAACACACACCGCTGGTCGCTGGGCAGATCTGGGTTCTCTCGAGGGTTCTCCGTCGTTCTGTCCCTGATGAGATTGTGTTCGGCACTGTCGCCTCTTCATTAGCTGAATATTCAACTCTATTATTGATCCGACGCTGACGATGACATCACTGTTCCCTGCAGAACTGATCTCAGTCCATTATTGATGATCTTTACAACGAAACTGAACCAACACTAAACTGACTTGAAGAAGATGATGTTGTCTTTAGAGCCGCTTTACAGCAGTAAGTTTGTTTGAGTTTGTCACTGTGACTCTTCTTTCAGCAGTTCTGTATTGTATATGTGCTGCTATAAAGCTGACCTGATTACTCACTATTGAGGAAATAAACCAAACAAACCAGCAGACGAGCACAAACAAACACACATGAACTGGACTCCATTCATCTGTCAATCATGTGACAAGTCTGACGCCTCTTCCGTGACTACCAGTGTATTCAAAATATGCATATAACACACACACACACACACACACTGTTCTCCTGTAACAGGCAGCAAGAACACAAATACAGGGGTGGTGGTGGCACAGTGGGTAAGACTTGGTGTGAGAGACTCGGGTTCGACTACACTGTGAGACACCAAGGTGTCCCTGAGCAAGACCCTTGACCCCTAGCTGCTCCAGAGATGTGTGTGACCTCTGACATATATAGCAACTGTAACTCGCTTTGTTTAAAATCATCAGCTAAATGAATACTGTACGTGTAACAGGCCGCTCTGTCACTGCATGCCTCTCTCTCTCTCTCTCTCCTCTTTCCTTCCATCTGAGCACTTCACTGAAAGAGGAACTTCATCATCTGCTTGTTTGACATATTTCACAATTGTTTGGTGCCACATGTTTCTATTCACTTTTTACCTTCATCGTTTATTTTCACAGCTACTTTCAATCTAAAAAATGTAGTACATTTTTCTTAATATCACAAACTTAGAGTGAAATAATCATAAACCATTATTTATTTTGTGAAGATGTTGTTCAGAGATGAGATGAGTAAAGACATCATTAAATACATTCATGAACAGAATGTTTATTGAGTGGGATTTTCAATCAAGCTGCTCTTTTGTCAAACTTTTATTGAACGTCTCACTGTGGATTATTCGAGAAGCGTAAAACACTGGACACACACCAACAATTGATCAAAAGCGTAGAAAGATTTTATTTACATTACAAAAGATTATATTTCAGATAAACACTGTTTAATCTTTCTATTCATCAAAGAATCCAGTGAACACAAATATGAAGAAGAACGACACTGATAATAAACACTGATAATAATCATAACTGTGTGTTGATCATCAGATCCTCATTTTAGAGTGATTTCTGGAGGGTCATGTGACACTGAAGACTGGAGTAATGATGATGAACATCACAGAAATACAGGACACTTTACTGTATATTCACACAGAGAACAGATGATTTACACTGGAGGAATATTACACTGTTTTACTGTATTTATGATCTAATAAACGCAGATTTGATGAGCAGAACAGACTCTTTTAAAAACATTACAACTTTACAATGGAAGCGTAATAATTGTATATATTTTTTCTAAAACAACAATTTCATTCCTTCCACATCACAGTTGATGTATGTAATAACATTCTGTGGTGGAAATGAGACGTTTGATAAAAAGGGCAGTAATAGTCCTGAGATGTTTGTCAATAGAAATATGTAGCTTAAGATCATTTCTAGAGATTTCTAAAGACTTGAAGATATGTTGAGGCTTCAGATTGTGTTCACCTCTTCTTCAGTTCAGTGGGTTTACATGTGCTGCGTTTCAGTTAGAGTTAGGGTGAAACTCGAGAAGCTGAAAGTCCCGGTCTGACCTCAACATCACTCTTGTCATTCTAGGTCTTTTCCAAAGCGTATATTTAGTTGATGTGTCGTGAATAAAACTCCAAATTAGCATTTAACTTCCCTTTCCTTGCTCAACATTCACACAGAAGAGTTATTTTAGATCAACAGCACATTTCTGGACCGTCCTCTTTCATTAGCATGATCTCAGCGTACTGAAGTCACGATTGTACAGCGAGGAAACATGAAGTGTGTGTTTCAACATCTCCGTGAGTCAGGGTATCTCCCCAAACACACACGGCCTCTTCTGGTGTTTCCCAAACTCACACACGGCATGAGCTTCGGCAGGAGAGGCGGAGCGACTGGAGGATGTGGTGAGAAACGGTGAGACCCTTCCCTTCCTCTGCAACGCCTGCAGTCGGACTGTGTGTGTGTGTGTTCATGTTTATATTACATTGTGTAGTCCAAATGTCCCCACAAGTATAGTAAAACCTGAACATCAGCTGCATTGTGGGGTCCAAAACCGTTTATAAATCAGACTAAGTAATGTTTTTATAAAAAATGTAAAAATGCAGAATGTGTCCTGTGAGGGGCAGGGGATAGATTAT